ATTATATACAAGTTACAAAATCAAAAAAAAACGCACATTTTGTATGTATTTTGATACTGTCTTTTTTGTTCATACATTTTAATTATGTTGTTAATTTATTGAATTTGAGTTTTGTTGTTTTCAAATTTGTTATAAAATTTACAACTTAATCAATATCAAGTTAGTCTTATTTTGTAAAATATAAAACAATTCCAATGTTATTTGAAAATCTACTTTATAAAATAAAAATATCTAAAACAAACACAATAAATATCATTATTAAACACTATGTCTATTTTAATGATTAAACAATTCGACCTGACAAATTTTGATATTAATGTTTAAAAATGATTTGTGTAACAACCGAAGTATAAACAATTTATTAAAATTTATTCAATTTAAAATAAAAAAACGAAATATTTTTTAAATGAGTAAAAACAAATTATATTACAAATAACATTCATATTTTTTTGTGTATTTCTAATGAACAATTATCAAAAATCATTTTTATTATATGAAACTTTTAAATCTTTATTTTTATTTTTAGTTTTATTGAATAAATAAATGAAACCGATAATTATCAACATTAATTTCTAAAATAATTATCGCAGAAATTGTGGTATTGTAATGTACGGATTAACAAAAGAAATAAACATTTTGGTTATAAAAAGGTGACGTGGGTAATTAAAATTGTAATTTTAAAAAACTATGATTATCAACAAAAAGATAAAAGGTTTATTGTGTAATATATATAGAAAACAAATTCATTCTATTATAATAGATTGAAAAAAAAACATAAAGTAAACATACAAAATGTTGTACATATTTAACCTTTGATTGTTATTTTTATTAAAATTTGAAAATTTATATTTTTTAAAAAAATACCATTATATTAAAGTTTCATTTATATTTAAAGTTTTTGATTTTTTACATAAATTTTGTTTAAACGTTATAAATGTAATTTAGTCAACCAGACAACGTTTAAAACATCATTGAATAGTTTAATTCAATGTCAATAAATTGCATTTTGGATATTATTAATTGTTTTAAAAACAAAATGGGTATTATAACAATCCAATTTGGTTTAAAAATTAACAATTTGTTTGAAATGATTATATAATATTGTTATATAAAAACAAACAGAGTATTTATTTATATTAACATAATATAATAGCCAAGAAAAATAGATGCTTGATAAAGTTATGTGTAAATTAAAAATTGATTATTTTTATTATTTTGATTTGATTCTTTTTGGTGTATAATTATTAAATTTGTTTAAAGTTTTAAAATGAACAATATTTAAAAACATTTAAGTACGGTTTGTGACTGTACAAGTTTTTTATGGTTGGACAAATATTATTCAATTGTTTTTTGAATAATTTAATTTTTTTACTATTTTAATATTAAAACAAAGTTGTTATTTTTTTAGTTTGCTTATTAATAAATTTTTAATATAATACTGGTGATTCCGGAATCGGTTCGGGAACCGCCATGTTCCGGAATCAAAAGTTTGGGAATATTTTTTTTATGAAGTTCGGGAACTTGTGTGTTCGGGAACTTATTGGTTCGGGAACACACCAATTTTAAGTTTGGGAATCAGGATGTTCCCGAACCGAGGTTAAAAATATTCCGGAATATTTTTTGATTCCGGAATCGGTTCGGGAATTTGATAAAAAAAAATAAAATTCCCCAAATAATTTCCTGGAATATTCGGGGAGTGTTTCGACAACACTAAAACAAATTAATTAACAAGTGTTTATTATTTTTTTGTTTATTTGATTTAATTTACGTTTTTTTATATTATTATTATTATGAACATTATTTTAAGTTTAATAATTAAAACATATTGTATTACCAATGTTAGTAATTTAAAACAACTTGTTAAATAAAAACACATTGTTAATAAAAGAGTATTTTGTTCATTCTTTATAATCATAGAAAAATAAGTTGTTGATTGATTTAAGATTTAGTTTGTTATTATACTTCAAAAACAAGTTGTAATAAATACTGTTATTATTTAACTTAATTATAAATAAAATCAATTTTATCTTTATTTGTCAAACATGTTTTATAAAAAAACACTACAAGTAGAAAAATTTCTTTTGATTACCTTTCATATTGTATCAAAAAAGATATTTTTGGATACCAAACAAATATATAATTTATATAGTTCATTTTTAA